TGCATTGCAAGCTTGGCGTCCCTGTTGCCAGTGAGGATCTTCTGAATGACGTCAGACGGCTTGAAGTCCTCGCCCTCCTCGCGCTTATCCCAGACGCCAGCATCTTCCCAGCTCACTGGCGTACCGTACTCGTTGAAGAAGGACTCGACAACGGCGTTGAAAGACTTTCGTTCAAACCTTTCAGCCTTGATGAGTACGACCATGGGCCGCACGCCTGCAATGTCGGGGCCGCACCTCCAAGCGAAGCCGTCGACGTTGACCCTGATGCTGCCGTTCTGGATCATGTAAGCGAAGCTGTCAAACAAGTCGTTAGCCGAAGCGCGATCTGTGTCGGACTTGAAGCGCGAACTTTGATTCTCCGACCCCCACTGAATCATCAAGCACATCATGCCGACCACGCTGACCGACGGGAACTTCAGGATGCGCATCGCGAGCTCCTCACTCGACAGTGCCGCTCTCTTGTTCGCGTACGGGCTGCTCTGGCGAAGGTGGTGACGAAGCTGCCACGCGCACAAGCACCGCTCCCATGCGTCCCGACGGTTCGCGAACCAAGAGCCCCCGCTCACGTTGACATGGAGACAAAGCATGTCGAACACGCTCCAAAGAGAAATCCACACCGACGAATCATACTGAGCATTCTCCCACACAGCGACCATCATGTACCTGGTGGTCTGCGTCCCAGCGGGGTGTGCGAAAGCGAACTCGTCGACCCTGTGCATGCCTAAGAAATTCTCGATCCACTCTGGGGAGTCGCTGTCCGTGGACTTGACGAACGTCTGGCCCTGGTCTGACACGAAGGCGTTGTGCTTGAAGAACTCCGTCACCTAGAGACGGTCAGGAAAAAACATGCCACCGAAAAAAGACTGCCTAAGGGTCAGTAGGCCGAAGTGTTCAAAAAAACAGTCGGTGCCACTTCCTCCGTCTCTTCCGTAGCGATTTTGGCTGAAGCCATTTTGGCTCAAGGGGGCCAGACGGACCAATTTTGGAACGGCGTTCCGCTTTCTGCCCGCCTGCTCAGGCGGGCAGAAAACGGAACGCCTCCAAACTTTACTTGGGCATGGATTTTGGGCAGGTAGCAGGTGGCAGGTTTTTTTTGGCATGGATATTTCGTTCCGGAGCAGAATCACCCAGTGCGACTCGTCTGGGCTGTCGATGTAGGCGTAGTTGTCCTTCAAATCAATGACCCAATAATCCGTGCCCGCTGGTGGGGCCAGTATCTTCACGGTCTCGTGGGTCAGCTGATTCTTCAAATAGTGATGCTTCTTGCCAGGGTCGATCCAGAGCTCGACGATGCCGTTGTGCGCCACCTGCACGCCGTGTGCATCGCCAGCCGCGCCGACTGCAATGGCGGCCTGGGGCGCTGACTCACCGTCGCCGATGTCACCGTCACCGTCGCCCGCTGCAGCGCCCGCGCCCTGGTCTCCCAGGGGGGCCAGGACGCCCTCGTCGACCTCCATCGCCAGGCGACTGAGCCGAGGTCGCCTCGAGGTCGACGCGCACAGGCTGCGCTAAGAGCCTGCGCTGCTATGACGGAAGAGGGAGTTGGTGGAAGGGCGAGGGCAGAACCGAGCGGAGCTCCGCCGCCCCCAAACTTCCCCCCACCGTCGCTCGCCCCCCTCGAGACCCCCTCCGAACCGACAGCGAGAGGGGCTTTTTACATGGGGGATCTATGTTCTCTCCTTGCACGCCGTCCGCCTCGCTGCGAGCGAGGTTGCCAGCTTGCCCGCTGACCTCGACTGCTGACGTGTAAGCGACGAAAGGCGAGACGGTGGGGGGCGAAGTGGGCGACGAGGAGGATCAGCGTCGGCGACGGCAATCGACTGGAGAAGGGCGACGGTTGCGATCGGCGTCGACGTCGACGTCGTCGTCGTCGTCCTCGTCGTCGTCGTCGTCGAAGTCGCCGCCGACGCCGATCGCAACCGTCGCTCTTCACAATCGTCGGCAACAGCAGCAAGCAAGAACTCGATCAACGATGCTTCGATGGCTCGATGGGATACGCAATGTGGAAATCTTGTCTGAACGTTGATGGCAACCCCACGCTTTCGCAAGCCATAACGCTGATACCCGAGCGGACATCGGATCGTGCACTGGCCTCGAGGGCACGAAGCATGCAACAAATGAAAACATATGGGTAGGTTTCCGATGGAGTTTCGTTCTCGCATTGCCCTCGAAGCCAGGCCACAAGAGCTCTGTGACAGACACCACATCAGCTATATCGCCGCTCAAATTCAAAGAAAAGCTGCTGCTCAAACGAGCGCCCAATGAGCCTGGGCTTTGAAGTGGTGGTGGGCTGGGGCAAGAGGGAAATGACTCAATCCAGCTCACACTGATGGCCAGTCTGCTCTGGCGCAGTGAAGCTCGTTGGCCGGGCCTCAAGACTAGCAGGCATGGCGTACTCAGGGGGGCCCTTCCCGTGCCTGCGCCTCGAGTCCTTCTGTACCTCCTTGATAGTATCTGAAATCTTCACGTCGGTGGACAAGGTCTTCGCAAACTCCTCGTCGAGATCAGTGCTGACCTTCTGGACGTAGTGCTTCAACTGGCTCGATGGGCTTTCGGCGAACTGATACCACGGCTGGTCAGCCTCGCCACTGAATCGGGTGAAACAAGTGAAGACCGAATCTCCGTCGGTCCCCTGCGCAAACCTGTCGCTCCAGTTGTTCGTGAAATACCATTCTGAGTTGACAGTCATGTTCTTCGGCACCGTCGCACGAGCACCAGAAATATGAATCAAGTCCGAAATCTTGCCGTTCTCGTTTGGCTCGCCGTACCTGTACACCCCGAGAAACTTCCAAGTCAAATCAGCAGGGTTAGGAAATAGAACTCGAAACGACGGCCAGCGATAACCAAACGCAACGTACAGGACTTCAACGACGCGGGCGGTGAGCTTCTTGTTTTTCATCTCCTCGAAGATTTTGTATGTAGACCTCAATCCAGTAAGACATTCGAGGAGCCTCCTGAAGTTGTCCCTGTGTTTCTTATCGATAATCTTGATTGCGGCGCTGCTGAAATAGCTCGGATCTTTCGCATGGACCACTTCCCACACCCAGTATTTTGGCAACTGGCTGAGTTTCTCCATGTCGGCCCACAGCTCGTCGATGTCGTCGTCGACGGCCTTGCTCGACTTGGACTTCTTGAGAATGGGCCCACGGCACATATCATCACCCTGCACGGCGTGAAGTGTCGGCAACAACTTTGCTGGCGATGCCAGCAGCTCCATGCACACGGTGGCAAATACTTGCGGCAGCTTCGATGTGGAGGAATCTTGAGCGCACTGCTTGTCGAATTTCGTTTTCTCTTTGACAACCATGGCCCAGGTAACTTTTGCACCGCCAGGGCTGCTAGCTGACGGGCTGCCGGATGTTGCCGAGCGTTTCTTGGTCGACGCCTGCTTATCTTTGGAGGGCGTGGCGAACTTCGAGAGGACCATGTTGGCACTCAGGTTCGCCGTGGGGACACGGCGCGAGAACACGCCTGGCGGAAGCAAACTCCCCTGGGCCAAAATGGTTACGGAAACAAGGGATCCCATTCGCAGTTGCGTCGGCGACGCAACTGCGAATGCCACGGCCGCCTGGTAAACTGGATGGTTCAGGGGGGCATCGTGCTGGCTTTGCATTCTGAGAAAGGGGTCAGTTGACCCTCCACGCGCATGGGGTCCTCCAGAGAGCCACGAGCCCATGGGTTGCCGATTTCACCTGGTGTAATTGGTTTGTGCTGGCTCACCCCTCTTCTACAAAAAACGAGGCCATAAGAACCTAGATCAAATCAAACATCAACCAGGAACATCACGGACTGAACAACGCATATGGGGCCCCAACGCAAGCGCATCAAAACTAAATGGCAACGCGCGCCAGAAGCGTGAAGACCGCCCCTCCGAAAATCTGCCAACATCCACCTCTACAACACCACGGATACGTTCCTAGAGTGCGAATGGTGTTGACGTTGCGTGTCGTGTGTTTGGTGGCGTGGTAGTTGTTGCTGCTGTTTGTTAGTTGCATGCCGTTTCCTTTTGTGTTGCATGTTGTAGGTTTGCTTGTTGTTTGCTAATTGCATGTCGTCTGCTTGTTGTTTGCTAGTTGCGTGTTGGATGTTGTTTGCTAGTTGCATGCCGTTTGCTAGTTGCATGGTGTATGCTAGTGTGCTAGTTGCATGCCGTTTGCTTGGTGATTGTTAGTGGCATGTTGTTGTAGGCGCCCAATGTGCGACCAGCCGTTTTTTTGTTGGTTGCATGCCTGGCACCCGAGAACGCCCCATCCATGAACAAAGACGCAACGTCAAGATATCGCCTAGACCTACTTCGGCATCATGAGCACCCTCCCCCCTCACCGTGGTTCGTCTTCCCTGCTACTCCTCGCGATCACACTGCTGCCCACCCTCCTCATTCATGGGTCCATGGGTTATCCTTATCGTCGCCGTCGGCTTCCCTTTCCTCCTCATCCGTATTCTTTCGCCCCTCCTCGTCCTCCTGGTCCTCCTCCTTTTTCTTACGGATCCGCGCAGCCCTTTCGGACGCGCATTACCGTCTGATGTTGGCGAAATTGCTTCGCTAGGTAAATCCACCCGCCCGAACGGCGAGTGTATCTTGTTAAGGCAGGAAATAATGATTCACCCGCGGCACCTGCCGCGCAACGACGAGGACGAGGACGACGACGACGACGACGATTGCGACTACGACTACGACGAGGAGGAGGAGGAGGAGGAGGAGAGAGCAGGAGGAGCAGGAGGAGGAGGAAGAGCAGGAGAAGGAGCAGGAGCAGGAGAAGGAGGATGAGGAGAAGAGGGAGGCGGAGAAACGTGGGGCGGGAGCAAAACCAAAGACTTACCTCAATTACGCCTCTCGGCTACACGCGGGATGACGCGGGGCTACCAATCACCCAAGTGCACAAGACGCTACTATCGCATCGCGTCCGGCGATCGGGGGACCCCGTTGGGCCCACACCAAAAGTCACTCCGGCGAAGGGTCACTCTCACGTGCAGTCGCTCCTCTGACCTTGAGGCCCGGCCTCGGCACCGCCGGCGGCGCCCATCGCCATGCCGCGAGCGCGGCCTGCCGCGCACCCCAGTGCCGGCCGCTCCGGCCGGGCGGCGAAGCGCCCCAACCCCCCAACCCCCCAACCCCCCCCAGGGTCCGGGGCCCGGGGCTTCGAGCCGGGCGTTTTCGCCTGGCTTCGGGCCCCAGGGCACAAGAAGCTACGGAGTCCAGTCCGGAGGGAGCGCAGTGCATCTGCCGTGTCGGGCTATTCCCGTGGGGCCGACGGCCCACAAAATACAAAACGAGGCGCCGCCAGTCGACCCGGCTCTAAAACATGACGCAGAAACATGGGGTCTCAGGCCTGGTCGCGATTTGTCACGATGTCCAATTTTTTTCGAGGCGTCGGATCTCAAGGGCCGCGCACTGCGGCCAATCGAGTCGCCGCCCACTCCGCGTGGTCGCCGCTGCCGACGTCCCGCGCTTCCCACCCCCATCCGTATCGACCAGAAGGGTTACGTGCAAATGTGTTTACACATTTGCTTGTGCAGCGCAAGAAGCCACCAGGTCCCAGCACTTGCATGAAAACCGCCACTGCCCCTTGCCCCCGTCGCCCTTCCGCCTCTTGCGCCTGAGACACTCACTCTCTTCTCAGGATCGGCGGAACTGGCCGTAAGGCCTTTGCACTAAGCGTGTAATACGCAGATTAGCTCAAGCCTGACTGAATTACGCGTGGGTGAGTTCAGCTAGGTAAAAATCTGTGTGGAACTACGGTATGTCGCCGACCCAAGCCGGCGCGCGTGAGAGGCTTCGGCGGCCGCATCAACTCCAGCCAGCCCAGGAGAGACAGCGTCAACGGTAGCCTGCAACAATCCAGATGATCTCCCATACAACAGTCACGACGTCATCGCAAAGGGAAGCCCTTCCATGTCATCCGTTTCCCGCCGGGAAGGTCACCGTGGGGGGGACCCGCGGGGATGTGCCCCCCCCCTTCAGCGTCTGGATACAACCCGTGATGGCCTCAAGACGGCGCGACGCCGGCCAAGATGACCCCAAGACGGCCCAACATGCACCAAAATGGCCCACGACGTGTTCCAACACGGCCAAAAAGGAAACCTAGAGGCCTCCTGAAGGGCGCCAGCAGACCCAAACCCATGCTTTTCTGAAAAGTTGTTAGACATGTTGGCGCTCTCGCCTTTTCTTGGCTCCCGCTCCCCCAAGAGAGCACAGCGAGCCTCCCAGATGGCCCTAAAATGGCCCCTAAATCGACCAAACACGGCCTCAAATCTCCAACACGGCCCTGAAGACCACAAGACGGCACAAAGAGGCCCCTTATACACACTCCCGCGTCAGACGGGCCAAGAGTGTCGTAAGGTAGCCCAAGAAGCCCCCAAGAGGCCTCAAGAGAGCCGCCAAAAGCCCCCAAGAGGCCAACCGATAAACCACCAGTAGACCCTCAAGAAGCCCCCGAGAGGCTCCAAACATACCCCAACAGAGCCCCAATTGACACGAGCATGTAACATCATGCTTCTCGTCGTCGCCCTCCTCCTCCTCTCCTGCTCCTCCTCCGCTGTGCGGGCTCAACACTGCGGATTCCCAACATGCGAGCTTCAGCTCGGAAGCGCGCGGCCTTGGCCCTGTATCAGTCCGGAAGAATTCGGCCAAAAAACAATCAACTCCCGCGGTTCTCCGCTTCGCCACACTTTCTCTTCAACTGTTCGGCTGCTGATCCGTTCAGCACGAGACCATGAACCTACAACGTGACTCCACCTTTCCTTTCAAGGTCGGCAGAAAGGGCCGCTAAGCCCTTCTCAATCAACCTGTACGCGAAACGATGCCTACTTCTCCAACCAACATCGCGGCAATGTGTCAAGCTGAGAATAAACGGAATGGGAAATGCCACCTTAGGCTCAAGTCAAGGCTAAATCCATGGCCAGGAGTAAATCGCTGCACGACCCTCCCACGGACACACACACACACACAATGCTCACAATACATCTCGCCGCTTGGGCCCCACCGCCAGGCCAAACGGCGAACATACATCGGACGTGGCCTCGTACAAACTGTCAGGTTTGTGTGTGTGCGTGTTTGTGTGTGTGCCACCCTTGTGGCACGCCTTAGGTTGCGCGGGACGTGTGTTACGCCATGGGTTGCACCATACGCTGCCCGATAAATGAGTTACGCCATGCTCCAACCGCTTGTTAAGCCACGAATTGCACCCTAGGTGGGTTGCGTGATCAATGGGTTGCGCCGTTGCGCCATTGGTTGCACCAAGGGTTGCGCGAGCCGTTGATTGCGCCAATGGCTGCGCCATCCATAGGTTGCGCCATAGATTTGATGGCGCAAAATACGCCTGACATTGCTCACCCTGCAACCGAACAGAGAGCTGAGAACCATACGGCCTGCAATTGGCTGCGCCATAAGTTGCGCACTCGGCGGCCAAGATGGTTTGCGCACTTGGCGGCCGACAAAAAAAACGACCTGGTATTGGATACGTCATAGGTTGTACACTCGGCGGCCGAACATTGAACGGCCTGCATTGGTTGCGCCATAATTTGCGCCCTCGGCGGCCGACAATGAGACCGTCTGCAATGCTTACACTATAAGATGCTCACTCGGCAGCCGATAACAAACCGGCCTGCTGTTGGCTACGCCCTCGATTGCGCACTCGACGGCCGAGAATCAAAGCGCTTGCTTCTTGGTTGCGCCAGAAGGGCCTGCTGTTGGTTGCGCCATAAGCTGCGCACTCGGCGGCACAACAATGAAACGGGCTGCTAAAGTGCACGTCCAGCCCAATTCAAACCATTCAACTCGGTGCGCCTCGCATACATTAAGTTCCGGCTGCGCCCGAGAACATTGCAGTAGCCCTCAAAGTTGCACGTCTGGTTGGGAATTCAAGTGGGAGGTTGCAACACCATTGTCAACGACTTCTGGCGTGGCGTGCGAATGCTGTGGCCAGCGTGTCGACGAGTCGGAACCTCCCACCCTGCCTCTCATCGCCCCATTGGCCTCCCTGCTGCGTGCACGCGGCAGGCTATCCACTCCGGAGAGCTCATACGCCTCAACTTGCGCGCGCTGGGTGCATGCCCTCCCGAACCGCCCTCGTGCGGTGGGCGGAGCTCATCCTTCCCTCGACGCTGTGGCGAAAGGCTCGGTCCCACATTGGCTGCGACAGCAACGCGGAGCAAGGACGACACATGACGGAGGACATGCGCACTACGCGCTGCAAGTCTGAAGGGCGTCCGCAATGTTCAGAGCAGAAGCCGCAAACCAAGTGGGGAACATCCAGGGGGAATGCAAGGGGGTGCAGGCTGGCTGGGAATGAGAAGGAGCTGGAGCAGCAATGGCAGCGGCCACAGCAGCACGAAGCTGAGGAAACGGAGCTAGAGCAGAAATATGCGAATAGAAAAAAGTGTGAAAAATACGGTCACTGAGACGGAAGAGAGCAATAGAGCGATGAAGCTCCCACGTCTCGCTATTACCGTACTTGGAACTTCCTTAACGGATAGGTTAGCGTTGATCCTGGCATACTGTTTTCATGGCAAAAGTGCGTCGCGCCGCAACGTTTGCAACGACTTGTGCGCCCATATCTAACGTATGCAACAACGTACGACTGTCAAAGATGGCCCCGCGATGCCTCAAATATGGCAGAGGGAGGGCCCAAGAGGGTCTGAATGCGCTCGGAGAGGGCCGCAAGAAGGCCTCCGGAGGGGAAGTTCATTGATTGGATGCATCAAGTTTTGAAATATACCCGCGTTCGTGCCTGTCCAGGCTTCCGACAGCACAAGACGGCTACGGAGTCCTCCAGGATGGCACCAGGACGACCTCCAGACGGGCCATCCACATCCGAAGACGGCCCAACATGCCCCCACGAGGCGCCCAGGGCCTCCCAGACGTCCCCTAAGAGCCAAAGGATTCCCCCCAACCTGTTGTAATTGACCTTGTGTCCCTCAATAGTTCTGGGTCTCCAGACTGCAGGTACCCCCCGGACTGCAGGTATCCTCTCCCCGGGCTGCAGGTCCCCCTCCAGACTACAGGTGCCCCCCCCCTCGGACTACAGGTGCCCCCCAACAGACTGCAGGTACCCCCCACCAGACTTCAGGCCCCCCCCGACTACATCCACGCGTGCGTTGACGCGTGAACACGCGTTCCCCCTCGGACTGCAGGTCTCCCCCCTCCCCCGGACTACAGGTACCACCCTGGACCAGTACCTCCCCTTGGCCGGGTACCCCTCCCCGGGACTTCAGGTACCCTCCCCGGACTACAGGTCCCCCCGAAACTACACAGGGCCACAGAGAAACAGACACTGGATCAGCCTCAGGAGCCAGCGGCAGAGTTCGCAGCCTTTCAGATACTTTAGAAGCATGACTGGAAGTTAGGCCAGCGCCCTCGTGTTCTGCCTCCTGTCCCAGCCGCAGGAAAAGGATGACCACTGGGACTATGGAGGCGATGGAGGCCAGAAGTCGGTTGCAGGAAAGGTGGTGAACGAAACAATCGAGGCCGCTCTGTGGCTGGCGATCCCACCGCCAAAGTCTTGAGGTCAGCCCAGATATCCGAATGGGGACGAGCGTCGAGCGAGACATGACCTGTCTCGACTCGATCCACCTGCTTCGGAGCTCGTCTAGCGGGAGCCCACGGACGATCGCGGCCTATTCCAAAACACGGCGGTGAAGAAGCTCGTGGAGGCGGTCAGGGAAGACAGCGCGCGTCAGCGACTTACAACGGCGTTCCGTGAGCCACTCCCTCGCCGCCCACCCCAAGCCCCAGAGCCCCTCCCCGCAGAGGCAACACACGGCGCTCTGGGGCAGGAGCCGATGCAGCGACCCTGGCCCTGCCTGGGGCGCCTCTCGGGCAAACCTTGCGTGGGGGGAGGGCCCGCGCAGAGAGCAACAGCCCTCCCTTACCAGCCTGAAGCATACTCTGACAACTAGGATTGGCACGGTGCCACTGGCAACCCTTTTCTCGGTGCAGATCCTGAGAACTGGACCGCTTTCTGAGAACGCATCCCCCAGACGGGTATGCCAATCTCAAGGATAAGGATGGGCACGAGCGTGGTGGCTCCGAAGTCATGATCCGATGGGGGATTGCAGGCACAGAAGCGAGGGAGGCGGAGGCTTGTCTTACCGCGTGGGCTGCACGGACGGGGACCTCACGCTCAGCAGCGACGGCCAGGCGCCCACGGCTGCCCTCTGAGCAGGTAGAGCTGGCCCCTGGCGGCGGCCTCGTGGAAGACGCCCAGCAGTACCTGCTTTGTCTCCGCACACACCGCAGCCTGCACTCTGTACTCGACATCGTTCGGGGGTTGCTAAAGGTGCCTTTGGCTCAAGGTGCCCCTGGCTCTTCGCTCCATTTTGGAGGTCCTGGGGCCCCCTGGGCCTCCTGCTCTGGAGGCCGTGGAGGCCTCCTTGGAAATCCTGGGGGCGCCTTGGGCCAGGGGCACTTCTAGCAACACCCCAATCGTAGGTGCCCTGTGCAACCCGCCTCCGGACCAGCTGGGGGACGTCCTGCGGCGCAAACAACAGTCCGCCGTCCGAACACTCGATCTGGTACGGCGCCGTCTCTCCTGGCGGCCAATCCGGCTCCCGGTAGTGAAGAGCGACCACCCGGCCTGGCTGCCAACCCCTGTCGGTCCGGCACTCCACGAGGGCGCCCACCTGAGCGACGAGAAGAAACTGGTGTTTCGCAGGATGGCATAGCAACCTTCTTACGCCGCAGCTTTTGCGGGCCGGCCCCGCTGCATTGGGAACAAGGGCGCTTACCCGCGGCCTGGCGCGGGCAGCTTACGCGCCAATGTCGGTGAAGACAACCCCGTTTTTCTTGTTGCTTGCGAGGCGGGGATTTATCCACATCCACCGCCTGGGAACCGACGTCATGGTGCCCTAGCGGGCAGTGGATGTGGATACATTTCGGCCCCCGGGGGCCCAAATATTATCCACCGCCTGCCGAGGCTCCGAAAACTGACCCTCCAGGCGGTGGTCTTGTGCAAATTCCCGCCCCGGATTGCTCACCTGGAATCTCAGCCCGGCAAGCCCATCCGGGCTGGCCTCGGGGCCCTCCCGGGATGCAGCGTCCACGGCACGCGGCACTCCGCCGAGGCAGCCGAGCTCGGAGAGCACGAGGCCGGTCTCGAAGTCCCACAGCACCACCGGGGGCGGCCCGCGGGCCCGCGGGGGGAAGCCGCAGCCACACACGACACGGGTCCCGGGGGCCAGCGCGAGGAACGCCACCTCTAGAAGAAGAGCAAAGCTGCATCAACAGAAGCTTTTGGCGCTCCGTACGGATTTCTTGGATTCGCGCTGGACCCCCCTAGGGGTGGCGCCAGAGGCGCCGTCGGGGGGCCCAGGCTCGGATCCAAGAAATCAGCGCAGAGCGCCAAAAGTTTATGTTAATGTAGATTTTTCTTCTTCGAACCTCGCCGTGATCCTGTTGGGCGTTGGCAGAACTGGGTTTAGAGGGCCCTGGTTTAATGATGTGTACTGGGGGGCGCCCCCCCGGCCCCGTTCCACTAACCGGAAATCTACGGCAGACCTGGTTTAGCGATTCTGGCCAATTTAAGGGCTCCGGGGCCCTACGACTAACCGGGTCCCCTTACCTGGGGTCCTGGCCACACCCGATCCTGGAAATTGCCCACGGCCTCCCGCGACGCCGGCCAGCGCAAGCAGCTGCACCTGGCCTCGCCCGTCGGGGCTTCGATCAGGCAGGCGGCCAGCCCCTGTGGCTGCCAGCCGCAGTAGAGGAGGAGCCTGTCGTCGGCGGGCATCTCCTGCGGATGGCACAGGGCCGCCACGGGGTGTCCTGGAGAAAGAATAACACATAAACATACACTTTCGACGCTCCGCGCAGATTTCTCGGATTCTTGCGCTGGGACCCCCTCCCTGGCGCGCGGAGCGCGCCAGGGGCGGCGCCGGAGGCGCCGCCAGGGGGCCCAAGCGCAGATCCAAAAAATCCGCGCGGAGCGTCGAAAGTTTATGTTTGTGTGTTTTCTTCTTCTTCGATATCCAGCATCCCATCGCTTCGCGAAGCTCACCGGTGCCCGCGGCAGGTCCGCCGAGGGGCTGCGGCGTTCCCCGAGCTCGGGCAGAGAGCGCTCGGAGCACGGGGTGCCACCCGCCGCGCTGGGCAGCCGCACGGCGCCGGCCACTTTGGCGCCCGAGCTCGTGCTGATGTGGATCAGGAAGTGGTTGCTCGTGGCGCTCACGGCCGACAGCTCGCGCTCGTCTTCACCCACCAGTTCGCGAAGTCGAACAATCAGCTGGCTGACGTCCACCTCCAGCAGCCTGCCAGACTCGAGGTGGAGCACGTCTGCTGTCAAGTTCTCGGCGTTCCACATGCCGCTGCCGTGTAGGAGGAAGACCTGCTCTCCACAGTGCAGCACGTTCTGGTAACCTGAAGGCACCGCGCACACAACCTCGGCGAGCGGCGCTCCATTCGAGCTCAGGGCCGGGAAGAACACGATCTTGCCGTCGTCTGTGTGCCCCACCACGCCCCCGACGTCGCTACCGCACAAAACCTTGCAGCGGCGCCGCCTGGGGGGGCATACCTCCACGGCGCGCCCTTCGTCGCCGCTGGCGTCCACCGAGAGTGTCCGCACGACGCCTCCCTGGCTCTGGCTCACGGCCAATGCAGCGAACCGACCACCGCCCAGCGCCCAGACGTGCCCGCTGGTCCGGCGGATCTGCACCTCGGTCGCGAAGCTATCCCCTGTCCCGCCAGCGCGATCGTCCTGCCAATGCCGCAATTGCTGGCAAGAATAGTGCAACCGCCTCCAGCCGATGAGTTCCGCGAAAGCGCTGGGGGCCGCACGGCTCCAACGCTGCGACGCGCGAGCACAGCTTGGCAGGTCCCGCAAGGCCAGCCACGAGATGCACCCGGCGAGGACCTCGTCACTGATGACTACGGGTGCGGAGCAGCCGCACCCGTGCCGGCAGACGTCCGCACCCGCGCTCGGCACGGCCCGCCCTGCTGCTGCGGCCATGCCGAGCAGGCGACCCGACGGGCGGCGCCGGCGGGGAAGCTGGCAGGGGGTGGGTGGGCGCGGCTGCTGCCGGCGAGAGGAGGGCGGGGAGGTGCGGAGAGAGGCGCAAAAAGGACGCGCGCGCGCCTCGAGCAACAATGTCCCTCAACGCACCTGTCCGGGGTGGCTCACCGTGCCCCCGCATGACACACCAGCTCGCCAGAGAGCAGCTCTTCGGCCGACAAAAGAGCTCAAGGGAGAAAACAACCAGAACGGGAACGCGAGACACGCTTCCACGTCATAGGGGATTTGGTTACAGCCCCCCCTTGCATGTCGGGATAGGTTGAAATATAGACCGAGAGACAAGCAGAGAAGCTGAACGTCTCTTAGGATCCTGAGAAGCCTGGCACACTAGCAGTCCACCAGCATGGCAGCAGCATCTTCGCTCGACATTTCACCCCAAAGGCGTTTCGAGAAGGCAAGGGCAGCGGTGATTCGCCGTAGGCGTCTTCGCTTGCTGCGTGGCAGCTCTTCGCAAGGAGTTTCTGCGCTTTGCCTTGACGTCGGCAAAGGTCAAGACCTTTGCGTATTGGCTCGGTCGGAGATCGCTTTGATCTGGATCGACTTGCTTGGTGGGCTTGTTTTCCACCGCCACCACTATAAGTAGGAGGGGGAGGGGGTCCTCCTCCTCCTCCTCCTCCTACTCTTCGTCCTCCTCCTCATCCTCCACATCCTTCCCCCTCCGACTTATGGTGGTGGTGGTGGTGGGAGACAAACCCATCATTGCTTGCCCATGACGACATTGGCATCACGCTCGGCCCGCTCTGTGAACTGCGCGATGCTGCACGTTTCCGCCAGGAGCCCGGCGCAAGGAGGACCCCGAAGCTGGGCTCCGAGAGTGCTTCCGAGCCCTGCCTGCTGTACGCGATGGCCCACTGGCCAGACTGGAGACGCAGCCGTGCCGAGATCGGCGCGCGTGCCCTCGGAAATGTTACCCGCGTCAATGTTACTGGCAGGCGATCCGCGTTCGGCTGCGTACCTTTGCGTACTTCTCCTGGCATTTCCCCCTTTATCAGCACACAATCCATTGACAGACGGCGCGCTGCGCTGCTTGACCGGATCGGTGCCCTGGGGAGGGAGCTGGCTGGTGTGGAGGGTCCATGCAAACTGAGATGCTTCGCGTACGAGGGGAAGAAGGAGGGCGGAGGAGGGATAAGAGATGAGAGAACAGGGCTGAAGGAAGAAATCTAGAAGGAGGGTGAGGAAGCCAGCAAGGGGTGTCTACGGATGGCGACCTTGACAATACTGACGAGAGGAAAGAGCACGATGTCAACATACATTCGCCGATGACAGACCAACACCTTGTTGCCGCAAGAAGTACGATGCCACAACTGACCTGCTTGAATTGCCGCCGAACTCATAGCTGATCTTCTATCGATTCGCCCGACGAACCACGCCAGGGAAACATGTGGTCCTCCTCCTCGTCCTTCTGCATTTCCCTCCTGATAAATCCAGTACCTCCTCTACCATGATCCCCTTCATATTCCCCCGTATCCTTCCCATGACCCTCCGTCTCCTTCATATATTCGCTCTCGCCCGCTAATCCGAGCTCCTTCGCCTATTCCTGTTCCTGTTTCTCCTCCTCCTCCTCGCCCTTTTCGTCCGCCGCCTCTTCCTCCTTAGGTTCCTCTCCCTTTCCTGCCCTTCGTCCTCCACCAGGGTGGTATCCTCCCAGCGATCATCGGACCACCAATCCACTTCATGATCTCTTAAGCGGCACAGGAATCTCCCGCCGACCTTGCCCCTCCACTCCACTCTGCTTCGGATCATCGGAAGTCCCTCTGACTTCCACGCCTCCTGTCCCCCCGATGCTTATCTGCAATGTGTGCCACAGTGTAGGAGCAGCGCGCGGCAGGGCGCGCTATTTCTGGAAACCGCCGAAAGGTGGAAGACCGAATCACTCCCGCCAAGATCAATAACCTACTGATCTACACAACCTGAAGCACCCCAACCACCGCGTCAGCCTGGCATGATGAGACGCGACGTCTAAGCCGCGCGAAGTAGAAGACGTGCGGTTCCTGGTTCAAGCCACCTAGTGCGCAAGCCAACGATTCGCCGAAAGACTGTGCAGTCGCGAAGGCAGCGTATACGGACGAGGAGGAATATACACATCGACATATTGAGCCAAGTAAGCGCGTCGTTCAAACGACCCCTTTCCCTCTTGCTGCGCACCAGAATGAGGGGGGGCGAACGTTCTTACACAATGTCCCTGGGCGCGTGCTTCTAAGGGGATTCCACGGTGCGGATTTTCGCTGCTGAGCTCCCGTGTGTCAAAAGTAAATGTTGTGGATCCGCTCGGTCCCCTCCCCATTTTGGTTCTCAAGTGAATGGTTGCCCGGCGCTCCCACCCTGCTAACCATTGGGGAACAAGCTGCTGTTCACACAGCACTTTGGGCTCCCCCGAACATCGGTTTTCGCCTGGTTCGTACTTTCTCCATGAATGAAAGGTTCGTGCTCTCGCTCGAAAGCCCCGCGCAATTTACGAACATGACTCGCACCTGCGCGAGGAAATCGCGCGTTCGCTGCTCAAGCATCGTGCTCTTGAAGGGGCCTGCCTTCCCCGCAGTTGGATCATGCGTCCTCGATGAGCCCTCAGAAAGCTGCGATAACGGCAACTGGGTAGAGTGAGGCGACGGCGTGTCCCTCTTTCTGGCGGTGCCGGGGGCCTTGTGCTTGGCCTGAGCCCAAATAGGCACAGACGTCAGACAGGGAACAAGGTTTCACACTCGTGCTCTTACCTGGCGCGATAGCGGCCGAAGGGGAAGAGGGAAGTGAGGGGGAGGTGGCGGTGCCGGGGGCCTAGGGCCCAGCGCGCGGGGCACCTGCCACGCCTAGGAAGTTGACGCCCCCTCTCTACGATGGGAGTGTTTCGTCTGTAAGACCGACAGGGGCGAGAGGAACCCGGAGGAGAGAGACGGATGCTGGGCCCCCCGCTCCAGACACTGCTAGGGTCGGAGTGCCGGCCGCCTTCTCCGTCGCCCCTGCTTCCAACTCTTTATCACGATGCCGTCGCCACTGCACGCAGTCGCGCCCACACAACAGCCGAAGACACGCAAGAAGGTGGCTCGAGGGCCCCGCTCCGACCCGGGGGGGGGGGGGGCCCGCGGGCCCGACCCCCACCAACGGGCCCTCGCCCGCCGAAGTGGCCGCAGGGTTCCAGGGGAGGGAATACGGGGTCCGGGGGGGGGGGGGAGGCCCTTTCAGGCGGGGGGGGAGGTTGAGCCACGCGCGCGGCCGCACCTCGGCGCGGGGTGGGTGCCGCCTCCTGGGCCGCTCGCGGGCTGCCGCCTCCTCGCAGGTGCCTTCTTCTGCTGGGGCGCCGTTGCAGTTGTTCCCGCTCTGTCTGCGCCGCGGTGCGCTGAGCGGGGCTGTCCCCGTGGAGCGGCCGCCCTCATCTCGGCGGTCGGCTCGCTGTGTTCTCTGGTGGCCGGCTTCATCACGTGAGGCACGTGCCCCTCGGGCACGCGGCCACCGCGAGGACCTCGAGGTACTCGTCGAATTCCGCTTCCTTCACGTTGCTGGGGTCGTCCGCCTCATGGTCCCCCTCGCGCTTTGTCTCTTCCAGGCTCGGCGCCGCCTTGAATGAACCCCGTCCTCCACGCGCTCGGTGACGAGGACTGCTAACGTCAGCGCGTTCAGCCTGGAACTGGGTACTCCCTGGGAGCCCACAGGTTGTCCGCGGCTCCGTCAACTTGAGGTTCGCCCTCGGGTCGAACCCCCTGGGCCTCACGAGCGGTTTCCTGCCAGGGAACGTGCCGAGGAACCCCCTAGTCGCCAGGGTCCTGCTCGGGCGGTCCGCCTCACCCACGCCCCAAGAAGGGTGCGGGGGGTGTAAGAGGGGGGGGAGGCTTTCCTCCGCAGCTGTTCGCGCGTGCCGGCGAGCTCCTCGCTGGCTGCCGCCCAGCGCGGCTTCCCAGACGCCTGGCCCTCAGAGCGACCTCCCCCACAGCAGGGGGGGGCGAGGGGGCATTGCCGCGGGGATCGGGCGCTCCGAATTCGTTTCGTTCACGCTCTCGTGGATGGTACCTCGTTGGGCCGCCTCCCAGCGCGCCCTGCGCTGCCTTCGCCCCCGAGGGCCCGTGGCGTCGTCAAAGAGGAGGCCAATCCCGTTTACCCCGTGGCCGCCCCGTGCCTAGGCCTTCTGCACCAGGAAGCCGACAGGTGCCGGGGCGGGACGACGTCACAACGCAGCGGGTGCACGTCCAGATGCCTCCTGAACTTGACCTGCCTTGGCTCGACGCCTCCACTCGTCGGTGTCTGCGAGTTGTCCCGCGGGCCCGTGACTGTGCCTCGGTAGGGGGATCGCCCGTGGTCCGGCTCTGAGCCACCGAGTTTTCCCTTCCTGGGGTGCCGTATCTGCTGAGGGGGGGTCGCCACTGCTGCCGTATAGATTGCCTCCGCTCACGCCGGCCCGCAGGCCCCGCTTGTCCCCGCGGGTCTCAGCGGCCCGGCGAAGCTATCCACATCTTCAAGTAGTTGCACCAGATATGGTCTTGGACTTCACTTGGACATGCACGAAAACAGCATGTATGAAAGTTGCGTCCTGCACAAGTTCTTGATCTTTAGACTCCGATTGGCTTCTGAAGCCGTGTGCGTTTAGACGCCTTCCACTGCACTGCTTACGTCGTTTGCTAGAAATTATTAGTCTTCGTCCCCCAGATTAGCAACGAGGTGGCGTTGAAGAAAACATATGCTCAACCGCTGTCGAAGATGTTGCTCGCCAGGCAGGTTGGGTTGTACAAGACAATAACGAATTCTGTTTGCCCGTTGCTTGTCAATGCCGCCGCGTGTAACGACGATGGGGCCTCCAATGTATGGGAGAGAGCGCGCCCGCAGTACACTCCTAAGGGGGGGGCTCCCCCCTTGGCTACCCCCCCCTTGGACCTCCCGTGCCCGACCCCCCCACTCCCCTCCTTTCTCTCCGCCCCTCGTAAGCTACCCGCCCCCCCTCCCTATCGCGCTCGGGAAACGGAAACTAACCCCCCCCCCCCCTTGGACCTCCCGTGCCTGCCGGACCCCCCCCCATTTTTTTTTCCGCCCCTCGGAAGCTACCCCAACCTCCCCCCCTTTCGCGCTCAGGAAACTCCCCCCCCCTCTCCAAAGGGGGGTGGTGGCTTAGCCAACCCCGCCCCTCGAACCCCACCGCCGTCGGGAGCCCCCTCCCTTTTTGGGCTTAAGCGGGGCGGGGGTTCGGAAGCCCCCCCCCCTTTGGCTAAAGGAGGGGGGGGCCAAGCCCCAAAGAGCGCCGAACACCAACAGAGCGCCGAAAACCAAAGAGCCACCGAAAACCGAAAGGGTGCGAAAACAAGAGGGCGCCGAACACCGAAGAAACGCAGAAAACCCGACGGGCACCGAAAACCAAAACGGCGCCGAAAACTAATAGGGAGCCGACAGCCAATGAGTGTGCAGAAAACCAAAGGAGCGCCGAAAACCAAACGGGCGCCGAAAACCAAAAGGGTCCCGACAATCACAAAAGGGAGCCGAAAATCAAACGAGCGCCGCAAACCAAAAGGGAGCCGAAAACCAAACGAGCGCCGAAAACCAAAAAAGCGCAGAAAAGCAAAAAAGCGCCGAACACCAAAAGGACAACGAAAACTGAACGAACGCCGAACACCAAAGAGGTGCCGAAAACCAAAAGAGGCTCCGACAATCCACGGGGCGCCGAATATCAAAGAGGCGCCGAAGACCAACAGAGCGGCGAAAACCAAAGCAGCGCCGAAAACCGAAAGGGCGCCGAAAACCAAGGAGCAGAGAAACCCAAAAGGGCGCCAAAAACCAAAGGGTCGCAACACTTGAAAAAGACCCCCGAAACCAAAGAGGCGCCGAAAACCAATAGGGAGCCGACAACCAAAGGGTCGCCAATAACCAAAAGGGCACCGAACACAAAAACCGTTCCGAAAACCGAAGAAACGCCGAACACCAAAAGAGCACCGAAGGCAAACGCGCGCCGACAATCAAAGAAGAGCCGAAAACCAAAGGGGCGCCGAAAACCGCAAGGGCGCCGACAACAAAAAAGGAACTCCGAAAACCCACGGGGCGCCGAAAACCAAAAGGGCGCCAAAAACCCAAAGGGGCGTCGAACAACAAAAGGGCGCCGAAAACGGAAGGGGCGCCGAAAACAACATAATGTCCGAAGACGGACAGGGCGCCGAAAACAAAAAGGGCGCCGAAAGCCAAAGGGACGACAAAAACCCCAGGAGCGTCGAAAACCAAAGAGGCACCGAAAGTAAAAAGGGCGCCGAAAACCAACGATCCGAAAGCCAAAAGGGCGCCGAAAAACCAACGACGCGCCGATCTATAATCAAGAGGGCGTCGACAACCAAAGAGCGCCAAAAACCAAAGGCGCGCCGAAAGCCAGAACCTAACAGCGCCGAAAACCAAAACGGCGCCGTAAAACGAAAGGGGCGCCGAACATCAAAAGGGCGCTGAAAACCAAGAAGGCGCCGAGAGGGTGCCGAAAAACAACGATGCGCCGAAAACCAAAGAGTGAGCAGAAAACCAAACAGGGCGTCGAAAACCCAAGGATCGCCGAAAACCACATGAGCGCCGAAAACCAACGGGGCGCCAAAGGCCCAAGGGGCGCCGAAAACCAAAGAGGCGCCGAAAACCAAAGAGACGCCCAAAACCACAAGCACGCCGCAAACCAACGGGGCGCCGAAAACCAAATAAGAAAAGTAGCATTGAAGCCCCCCTTCAGCCAGGGCCATCCAGCTGAAAAAGCCAAAAGGAGGGGAGGGGGGATAGCTTGGAGGCCCCCAGCCCTTTGGAAAGGGGAGCCCGGTCTTACCCCGGGCTCCAAAAAGGAGGGGGGGGAGCTTCCAAGGCTCCCCCCCCTCTAGCCAGGGACCCCCCAGCTACAAAATCCACACAAAAGGAGGGGGGGGGAGGAGTAGCTTCGGAAGCCCCCACACCTTCGAAAGGGGAGCCAGGACTGACCCCGGGCCCGAAAAGGAGGGGAGGTAGGGGGTACGTAGCTTCCAAGCCCCCCTCCTGCTTTAGCTAGGGCCCCCCCAATTAAAACATGCATACCAC